GAAAACTGTCAACTTTAGTTAATCCAGTAAAATCACAAATTTAACACCAAGGAATTTTGTGTATGGTGACTGATTTATATAATGATATTCTATGTATAGTTTAGTGCATATTTAGATAGATAGATATTTCAAAAAAATTCAAATAATAAAATACGTAAAATTCAATTAAATACGTAAAATACGAATAAAATTCGCTATATAATAACCACTGTAATGCCAATGTGCCTCTACAGCGCTAGCCGTAACAAACTACAAATAAGAACTACTTTACCCATAATCCTAAGGAAACTGTTACTATAGAAACGATACTAACCTGGCCTGGTAGAAGCGAGGAAAAACGCCTTTAATGTAACTGTTCTCCGCTGTGGATGAAATTTACACGAATGAATCAGTGAAATTCTACTATTTATGGTTATCTTTATGTTCCAGCAGTTCTTCAGGATTTATTCTTTCTTCCTTTATACATCCGGAGGGGTTGGCGCTGCTAACGCGCGCGACTTTTCAAAGTGGGCGAGTCCATGTGACGAGGATGTTCAGCAGGCTAGTTAGCCAGCTAGCTTAGCTTAGGATTTTTACAGTTACCGTGTAAGTAAATGTTCGTATTAACTATCTTAACCGTTTTCTGGCTAAATATGTAACGTTTACAATTAATGCTCTGTGACCGAGTTTTTCACGGACGCGTTATTTAGTATTTGTTTAGCTCATCGCTGCTTTATAATGAAAACATTAGCATGATTAGCACTGAGCAGCTAAAGCTGCTGAAATGAGCTTTTAAAAAGTCCTCCAAGTATTTATTTTGGCATTTCAACTGGTAAGTCATTAATATGCATATCCGTTGGTGAAAACACAAATTTGATTTTACGTAAATTTTACATCTTTATTAAGCTGATAACTGATTCCTGGATACCTGAACAGGGTAGCAAGTTGACTGACTGTTTACTTTTGTTTCCAAGCAGGCAGTGCAACATGTCGATTGATTTTGACAGCGCTGCTCTTCAGACTCAGCATGATGAGGAAGAATACGACCAGGAAGACTTTGCAAGAGAGCAAGAGGTGAAAACACAGCATGTTCAGCAAACCATTTATTCTGCTTAACTTTAAAGCGTTTTATGCCTCAATTTTTTATTTTAGTTTATATATTTAACCCCTTATAGGGCAAGTTACCGTTTCTTATTACTTGCAAAATAAAGATAAATTCATCACTTTGACAAACACTGGCTGTTTCATAGCATCAGTAGATTACTTTAACTTATAATAAAAAATAAGCACATTGCATTGCATACTCATTATGAAGTCAATGAAGTCTATAAATCATGCAAAATAACATATTATACAAAACCATCACAACAAAATTAATGTGTTAAGGAGCATAATAATACAGATGTGCCAAAAGTGTAAATGTTGTAAATACATGTAATATACATGTATTTATGACACATGAGATATATATATATATATATATATACATTTTTTTTCGAGTCAGTCCTAGATAGCCAGACTAATGTTACGCTACATACTATACTATAGGATCCATCGGCGTATATGTGGATTTTCTTGGTTAGTTCATCCACTGACTGTGAAATAACCTGTGGAACGTCTTCCCACAACTGGCAAAATGCTTGTTTTTGCAGCCAAGTGCTTCATATGTAGGCATTTTTACTGGGCTTCTCCATGGGAGTGGGGAGTACCAACATGGCGGATGGTGGCTTCACTTTTCTCGGGCAATAAGCAATCCTGTGAATATATAGACATCAGTGTTTTCAGCCTACTATGGTCTGATGAGACTCAAATAAAGCTCTTTGGCCATAGTGACCATCACTGTGTTTGGAGCTTAGAAGGCTTACAGCACCGTTCCTGCAGTGGAAGTTTGGTTTGGTAGCATCCTTGATTTGGGAAGGATGCTACAGGGTTTCTGCGGGTCATTAAAAATCATTAAAAGTCATTAAATTATTATTTTTTAAATTAAGGCCTTATTTGGCATTAAAATCCATTAAACGTGATTATCATGGAATTTAAAATGCTCTATAAAAGAAAAAAAATTGTCAAATATATCAGATTTAACTGGTTTGCGTGGAACTGCTCCTGGTTGATCGTAAAGCCGTATGTTCGGAACAGAAGCTTGAGGCACAGAAAAAGCTAGAGAATGGGAAAAAGCAAATTTTAACATACCGGTAAGTGGCTGGAAAACGAGAAATTCGGGACATGACTGCAGCCTGTTGATGGTAAAGATTATGAAGGATTTGGCCGTGTTTATTAATATATGTGTATATATATATGTATGAGAGTAATGGGTACTTATTGATGGCATTAAAATTATTTCTAAGCATTAAAAAGCATCAAATTAGAGTTCCTCCTTCCTGTATGAACCGTGTTGTATGGAAGAGACAATATGAGGAAATCCTGAAGCAATATTTCAAGATATCTCTCAAAGTTTAAGCTTGGAAAAAAGTTATTCTTTGAGGTGGATATTGATCCCAAACAACAAAGTTATTGTAAAGCAGACAAGAATAACAAAGTCTATGTTTTGGATTGGCCTGTAAAAAGCCCTGATTTCAATCCTGTAGAAATCCCATGTTGCTAGAGTTGAAAAGTTGTTTTTGAATGAAGCAGCCTGCAAACCTAAATCAGTCACGCCATTTCTGTCTAAGGAAACGGGTTGAAAGTTCAACCAAATAATCTTAGAAGGAGGTTTTCAAGAAGTCAGCTCTAAAGCAAAGAGAAATATTACATATTATAAAAAAAATAAT